ATTGAGTAATCATTTAATTATCACTATTATCATTTAGAACATTCGTATTTTGAGGACATTGTTTTCAGTCACTTTCTTGATTTACTCAAGTATCTTACATCAGATTGATAAAACCAAGAGCTTATATTGAATTTTGGTTTTCATTCTACCTGACAAAATCCAGAAGATAAATTTTGTTTTCCAAATTCGACTTTTCAAAACTTTCCCTTAATGTCAGATGTAATGTGTCTGGTAAACACATACACTTCCAGGAGAGATATAACATTTGCTTTTAATCATAATTTGTCTTCTGGAGGTGGAATTTCTGAGCTGAGCATATCTTTAAAAGGCAAAAAATGAAGCAAGAAAACCTCCAAGGTTTAAAAAATGTTTATATGAATAATTATGAATACAATCTGACAAGCTGAGTCAATTAAAAAATAAAAGGTACCAAATCTTGAGTTGAATAAGTGGCCTCTTTGAGAAAAGTTAATCAGTGTTTTATAAGAAAATAATCTTTCTATAGAGCTTTGACCCAAATCTTCACTTATTAATAGTAATATCTGTCATGAGTACCTGGCTGTGTTTACATATATGTATATATATAATATAGTTTAGTATAGTGAACATGCTTAATCAAAATAAATTCTAGAAACTTAGCAGGAGAAATATGTCCAAAAGGTATCATCATGTAGATTTTTCAAAATTATCTGGAGCTCCTACTCCAGGAAAGCTCCACTGTTGTTTTGATTTTTTTCTAATGTATTGGAAATGAAAAGTGATGTATTTCATAGCACAGTAGACGCAAGTACTTACTATAAAACATTTTGCAAATTTGCTTATAGTGACCATCTCTCAAAAGGGAAAGTCAGAAATATTCAGAAACAGTTTAGGATTCCACTACATTTCTAAGAAGCAGCAGCAGCCTAACAGATAAATCAGTTCAACCAGATATGACTGAAACTTTAACAAATAGGAAGGTAGAGGGGAGAGAAGATTAGGTGGGAAGATAACAAAGCTTTTCTGCATCTCCAAATACATATCTGAACAGTTTGCTTGTACCTAAAGACTTAGAATTCGCTACTACTTTCATAGCTCAGTAAATACTAGGTCTTGAAGTCTGAGTCAACTAGAAAGACATTTCTTAACAAACAGGAATGTTAGTCAGTTTAGTCAACTACAGAAACTGTCTACTATAATAACAACTAAAGAAAAGGGACAATACATATATAAAAGTTTTTAGACATTTCACAATAGGCAGCAGTAGACTGTGATTCTGAAGTGAAAGGAACAAATGAGATAAACCCAGCTTATTGCTTGGAGAAAGTTTCCCAGCCCCAGTGAAACAAAGTAAGAAATAGAGCTTGGGAGTCATGCTGAGTTGAGGAGATGAAGGAAGAGTTGAGTGAGGCTGAAAGGACTAGAATTTGCAGAGCGGAGTAAAAGAGAGAGCAGAGTTGCACAAAGACATTGAAGATCTGCAGAGGAATCCCCTGACTGTGGCTGGAGCATCAACCTTAGCACAAATGAAAGGAAACAACCCAAGGCATGGCAAAGAACCAGCAAAAAGTAGTGGAATGAACAATTTCAAGAGCTCACACAGGGCTAAGAATAGTTTGTTTTCATCAGCCAGAGCAGATAGACCTTGTAACACACGGGATATTGGGTAGAGTCTGAAGAAGAGCAGAATGACTTATTTATTAATGGAACTAAATAAGTTCTAGAATAAAGGCTGCTCTGGATCCACCACAATGAAGGATAAAAGCAAGCCTCTAAAGAATTCAGCTACTTATCTGCTTATCTCCAAACCAGAATAAAATCTAACCTTTTTTTTTTTTTTTAAAGGAACACAACAAAAACAGCACCCAAAGAATGAAAAATTCACAATGTCTCGCATTCAAATAAAAATTACTAGGAATGCAAAGCAAAAGTAAAGTATGATATATAGCCAGCAGAAAAATTACTCAATATAACAGTTCCAGGAAAGATAGAGAGGAAAGAATTCAAAGAAAACAACCTGAAAACAGTAATTATAAATAGAATAAATATATTAATACATGAGGCAGGAAGAAAGACACCAACCTAATAAGGGGAGAAATGGCCCAACTGGCTCTGTCTAAATCTATCCATGTATTTTCCCTTTGTTCTGTGGCAGGAACAGAGATGGAAACAAAAGCAGAGGCGAGTTCCTTTGGAAAACAGGTAGAACTTATGTTGCTACAAAGACAAAAGCCTGGTGACACTTAAAATTTCCCTAATCCGCTGGAAGTTCTCCCAATAGTTAACTAAGGCTTTAAAGAAGTTATGTTCGCAGGAAAACTTCTAGCTTGGTACAAGGTGTCTGTGCTATCTCAACTACTAAGCAATCCTCAGGTTTTGTACCTATATTCATATGCACCAGGCTGCTAAAAGAGCAGAGCTTCCAGCAGAGGAAATCTCCGACAATCCTCAGAGGTGGTCCAGGAAAACAATAGACAAAGACAATTTCATCAGTAGGTAGGACCTAGGTACACTTTGGAATAAGTAAACGAATTCAGTCAATCCATTGCTAGGAAGTGAATCAATGAAAAGATGCTCATGGTTTAACTTTGTTATCCTTGTCTAGCAGGACGCGGTGCATGCTCTGAAATCACTGACAGCTGTTTTACTTCCTTTTTGCCTTTTCTTCAACTGGCATTTTAAACTACAGTTCTGTTTTCTACTTCTAGTATTTTATATGAAATATGTCAGATACAGTTGGCTCTCCATATCTGTGAGTTTCTGCATCCATGATTCAACCAACCACAGATCAAAAATATGTGAAGAATAATTGTACTGAATATGTACAGACTTTTTTTCCTGTCATTATTCCCTAAATGATACAATATAACAAGTATTACATAGCATTTACATGGCATCAGGTACTGTAAGTTAATCAAGAGATGATTTAAAGTATATGGGAGGATGTGCGCAGGCTATATGCAAATACTACATCATTTTATATCAGGAATTTGAGCATCCTTGGAGTTTGGTATCTGTGGGAGGTCCTGGAACCAATCCTACACAGATACTGAGGGACAAGTATGTTTCTATATTTTTCATTTAACCTGTAGATTGAAGTTACATCTATACCTGACTATGGGGAATGAACACACCAACAAATCGTAGCCTTGGGGATGAAAGCTGTAGCTGGACATAGCATGTTGCAGAGAGGTAAGGGTATTTGTGGTCGTAAAAGGAAAACGGTACTATGTCTGGCAAAAGCATTGTTCAGTGTTTTAAAAAAGGTAACACTGGAAACAAAGAGATGGGTATCTCTATTGCTTTGACTGCAAAGAAGAACTCCTTTTCTCTAAGATCTGTATCTTACCGCCTCTTTCCTCTTGCTATTGCAAGCAAGTGGATGCTGCCAACCACAGTATTCCATCCCTTCAGTCCTATCAGTCAGAATCCTGTCCTAGAATGTACTAAGTTAGAAGTTAGGGAAGGAGGATCCTCTTTGGTGTCAAAATCAAACACATGATCTACAGTGCTGTGAATAACCATGTGTGAAGAGCGCCATTTCAAAGAATAATGTTGACATGCAAAATACTGCAGAGACAGAAACTGAGAATGTGTCCTGGCGACAATCCTTTATCTCCAGGTGTGCCCTTTTTCTAAGATAGTTTGACTTGCTGCCACTTGCAACTACAAGAACCCTGATACAACGTTGTTAGAGAAAATTAAGAAAAAAATTAAGAGTCTAGTAAGCTAGTATATAAGGCTGCGGTCCCCAACCCCTGGGCCGGTACCAGTCCGTGGCCTGTTAGGAACTGGACCACACAGCAGGAGGAGAGCAGGGGGCATATTGATGGCCGCTCCCCATCACTTGCATCTGCCTCCTGTCAGATCGGTGGTGGCATTGGATTCTGCCTTACGGTGACTTGTATAATTATTTCATTATATATTACAATGCAATAATAGAAATAAAGTACACAATAAAAATAATGTGCTTGAATCATCCCAAAACCATCCCCCCAGCTGGCTGACCATGGAAAAATTGTCTTCCATGAAACTGGTCTCTGGTGCCAAAAGGTTGGGGACTGCTGATATAAGGTACACAGGAAATATGGTGGAGGTACTCCTAAAGAACTAGGAAACATCAAGAAACTCATTCAGCATCATAGGTCAATGCCAAAGCCACTCCACTGCGGTGTTTCTCTTTACTGCAACCTAACAGGACCTAACATATTAAGAAAAAGTGCCCAGCCACACATGGAAACAGCAGTCCTATCCATCCCTTCACTCCATGTCTGTTTTTGTAGGTAGGGAGGAACTCCATAGGGGTATATCCTACTAATTTTGAGCATACATGATAGCTTATCCTACCCTGTTCAACTATATCAAATTGCTCTTTCACTCTATACATAGATTATTCTAACCACATAAACACACTCTGTTCCTCTCAAACTTCAAACACCATTATCTATCAGAAAATAATCACGTCTCACACTTCACAGAGAAATCAGAAGCCATCCGATGGGGCTCCTTCAATTTCCCAATGCTAATTATACCATGCTTTCCTGCATCTGACCTATCTCACCAATGGCCAATCACTCCACATGTGCTTTGAATCTTAATTCCCTCCTTCCTCTCCCCTTTGTTTCTAGGACATTACAAACATTCATTTTTCTATGTGTTGTAAATTTAATCTTTCCCTCAACTACCAGAAATAAAATCTCCATGAAGATAGGGACCCTGTCCATCTTTATCCACTGCTGTATTTTTGGTGCCGACCATTAGAGGTAGTTGATATTATTTGGTGAGAGGTCAATGTAAGAAATTTTCTATTTCTAAAGTTCGAGAACTCTACTTAGAGATGATCAGGTGCCACACTGGATTTCTGATTTAGGGTTAGAGGCTTTATCAAACTTCACAAATACTTCTCTAGATAAACATATAGTTTTTCTTCATCTTTGACTTTATTTCGGATAAATTAACTTTCAACTTTGAGTCTAAAGATGAAATAAATGAAATAGAAAATGACAACAAATGATGCTTACTCTTCTTGCCATCCATATCCGCATGGATTTTCCGAGCCAAGAATCCACTTTTGTACACAGCAGCATTTGGGTCGTGAGGAATGTCCAAAAAAGGGTTGGTAGTACTCCCAATTCGACTGATGGTCTTGGGATGTGTTCCATTAGCCTTCTCATCAGTACCTTCTGAGGGAGATTTTTTTTTCTCTTCATCATCTCTAAAATGGAGAAAACACAAAGACTGAGCCAAGCATCTACCCCAATATTCAATAAAAAGGTATTTAGCGTGAAGAACTACCTTTATTCTAATGGTCTCTCACTCTTTGTAACCACCATGGTAATAACGGCCACCATTTAACAACTGTCTTCTATTTATGATATTAATGATCATGACAATCTTGTAAGACTGATATTAGTATCCTCTATTACAGACAAGGAAAGAGACTCTGAGTTTAAATAAATGTGCAAGTCCACAGATTTAGTAATCAAAAGGAGAGACAATGATGGTATGATATAAAATCTCTACAGCCTCTGTTCTTTCCACCCACGACAATGTCTTCATATTTGTCTTTTTTCACATAAGTGGGAGTTTTTTTTTTTTTTGTGCAAGGATGATTTGACTTCTATATTTCTGCAGCGTCTAGCATAGTGCTAGTCATACAGAAAACAACAAATAATGATAGATTGAGCACAATAAATAATATTGAACTCTATCTACCAAATAATCAGGCTAATTCCTAATATCAAAACCCCAGGAAAAGCTACCAGCAGATTAGGATGGTGGCGCCATGCACAGTGCTTTGGATGCCATAGCTACTACTTTCCCAACCAACATAAAAGTGTGGGAACCCTATGGGCCGCTGAGAGACAAAACCCCTAATTATCTAACCCCCTTTTCTGAATCCCTGTTCCTTCATGCATGGCAAATTTAAATCTGAGATCACAGTGTACATTAAGTATGAAGGAGGCAGAAAATGCATGGCCATATTCAGTTAATAAAGAGGAAAACAGACTAGAGGAACGTTAACAAGCTCTGATTTACTGCTGGAGGGCAAGACAGACACCATGACAACATCATCTGTCTTAGTTCAGCTGTTTTCATTTCCTCAATCACCTCTGAGTTCACTGTTTATTAAACTTTGATTATTGAATTTTTATAAAAACTTCAACCAAAATAACCACCACCAAAATATACTTTAAACTAATCACGAAATTAATAATTATCAGAAGTGTTTGATGATGAGGTGATCAGAGAAAATTAGACTTTTTCTTTTTCACTGGTATCTTAAAAAGCAATAAATATATTTTAAACTAATCACAAATTAATAATTATCAGAAGTGTTTGATGATGATGGGATCAGAGAAAAACAGACTTTTTTCCTCCATTGGTATAAGTAATTGAGAAATATGTGAAAATAAAGTTGGACTCTTAGATACCAGTATTTCACTTTTATTTTGAAAGAATTTTAGATTTGCAAAGATAGTACACGAAGTCCCCATATGCCTAGTTTCCCCTAATGTTAGCATCTTATATAAACATAGAACTTTCAAAACTAAAAAATTAACATTAGTGCAATATCATGAGTTAAACTTCAGACTTTATTCAGAATTTTCCAGGTTCTTTTCCACTAATTTTTTTTTTTCTATTCCAGGATCCTACCCATTATCCTACAGTGCTTTTAGTTGCCATGTCTCCCTGATCTCTTCTAGACCGTGACAGTCCTCAGTCTTCCCTTGTCCTTTATGACCTTGGCACTTTGAAGAGTACTTGCAGAATATCCTTAGTTTAGGTTTGTCTGATGTTTTCGCATGATTAGGTGGAGGTTATGCATGTTTGAGGAAGGAAACCCCATAGGTGATGCCCCCTTCTCAGTGCATCAGATCCGGGGAATACTAACCAAGATCACTTGGATAAGGTAGCATCTGACAGGTTTCTTTACTGTAAAGTTACTGTTTATCTTTGTAAATGTTTTGGGGGAGTTATTTTGTAACTATGCAAATTCTCCTTTACATTTTGCCCATTAACTTTAACATTCATTAGCAGATCTTGCAACAATTATTACTGTCACAATTTAATGGGTCCCTCATTTATTCTATAGTCATTAAATGAAATTCTTCTGTAAGTATGGACACATGGATATTTTATTCTTTTTATAATAAAATACTACTACGGCTATTTAATTTGTTGTGCAAATTTTTCTAGCTTTGGCCTTTGGGAGTTCTAATCAGGTATGCTCATATGACCTACGAATATGCCTCATCTTTTTAAGTACTTCCTTACTTTTAGGTATTACAAGATGCCTACAAGCTCATCTTGAATTTTCTTTGTCCCAGCCCCGCAATCAACCACTTTTCTAAGGAGTCCTGGTTCTTCTTATTGGAGAATGGTATTTAGAAACCAAATCTAAGTGCTAGGGTGCTAATCACTTGAAGGTCCTTTCAAAAGACAGAGCTAGGAACGTAGAGTCATGTGCCACATTAGCAATGTTTTGGTCAATGACAACAGCGTATAGTATACAACAGTGGCCCTTAAGATTATAATGGAGCTGACAAATTCCCATTGTCTAGTATTTACTATGTTTTTCAACATTATTTTAGAGTGTACTCTTTCTACTTATATAAAAAAAATAGATAACTGTAAAATAGCCTCAGGCAGGTCCTTCACGAATCATTCCTAAGGAAGGCATTGTTATCACAGGAGATGACAGCTCCATGTGTGTTAATGCTCCTGAAGACCTTTCAGTGGGACAAAATGTGGAGATGGAAGACAGTGATATTGATGATCCTGACCCCGTGTAGGCCTAGGCTAATGTGTCTGTTTATGTCCTTATTTTTTCACTTTTTAAACTTATGGGTTAAAAACAAATTTTAAAAATAGAAAAGGGCTTAAAGAATAAGGAGATAAAGAAGGAAAACATTTTTTGTACATTTGTACAACGTATTTGTGTTTTAAGCTGTTACTACAAAAGAGTCAAAATGTTCTAAAGAATTTAAAAAGTTTATAAATTAAGAAAGTTATAGCAAGCTAAGGTTAATTTATGATTCAGGAAAAATTTTAAAGAATAAATTTAGTGTAGCACAAGTGTAGTGTTTATAAAATCTATAGCAGGGTATGGTAATGTCCTAGGCCTTCACATTCACTCACCACTCACTGACTCACCCAGAGCAACTTGTAGTTCTGCAAGCTCCATTTAGGGTAAGTGTTCTAAACAAGTGGTACAATTTTTTTTTTTTATCTTTTATACCACGTTTTTATTGTATCTTTTCTATGTGTAGATATGTCTTGACACACAAATACCATTTGAAATGGTAAGTACTGTACGGTAAGAAACTGCCTAGTGTTCAGTACAGTAATATGCTGTACAGGTTTGTAGCCTAGGAGCAACAGGCTATACCGTATAGCCTAGGTGCCTAAGTAGTCTACACCATCTAGGTTTGTGTAAGTGCACTCTATGATGTTTACATAACAATAAAATCGCCTAATGATGCATTTCTTAGGATGTATCACTGTTGAGTGACACTTGGCTGCACATGTAAGTATATCCACATACATACACATCTGTAGTTGTTTATCCGCCCATCCATCCCCATGAGTTCATATTGATACCTGCAAACCCAAGCCAGCACGAGGTTCATTCCACCCTTCCCCTTTATACTTCAACAGTGAGAAACCTGGCTCTCATTATCTATGATATATTCATTTATTGTTCAACCATAGTAAACATATAAACTACCTTCGGAATTGCTAGCCTATGTCTGTGTGAGGAATAAATTTCTACTGGAGTACAGTTCTTCTGTTGTACAGTATTCAGTCAAAATATTGTTTTCCAAAGTGATTGGGTCGGCTCCTATCTTCTTCACCGTCTTCACAATGGATATGTGGAAAACATATTACTTTGTTATACTCTGAATTCCATCTTGCATTTCCCATATCCAGGCTGATGTTTAAAAATACACATTTTGAAAAATGCACTTCTTGTGATATATGGTTTTATGGACTGAGATAATACAGAGTCATGTATCCACTACAACAATATTGAATAGAATAGTTCTGTCACCCCAAAAATTCCTTCATGCAGTTCTTTTAGTCAACTCCTCTCTCCCACCAATCTCCAGCAACTGTCTCCTATCCCTATAGTTTTGCCTTTTCCAAAATGGCATATAAATGGTTTCTTTCATGTGATAAAATGCATTTAAGATTCATCCATCTCATTATGTGAATCAATACTTTGTTCCCTACTATTTCATTTCATGGATATATTAGTTTGTTTATTCATCTATTAAAAAACATCTAGGGTTGTTTCTAGTTCTATATTTTATTTTAATAATGAAAAATTATTTGTGGCTACAACCAACACAATGATAACAATACAAAAATACAGTACTACCAATCTTTCATAGATTAGAATCAATCCAGAAGATTTCTATCCTTCAAATGAATTATTCTACTTTTACCATTAAGATTCAGTACTGTTATAGCCCACAGCTAACACCATATTCAATATTCAAAGGTTGAGCACTTTTCCTCTAAGATCAAGAACAAGACAAACATGCCCACTCTCACCAATTCTGTTCAACACAGTTCTGGAAGTTCTAGCAAGAACAATTAGGCAATTAAAAAAAAAAAAATAGGAGAAAGTGAAATTGTCTCTGCTTGCTGTTGACATGAACTTATTTATAGAAAATCCTAAAGACTTTTTCCCCAAATTATTAAGACTGATAAACTCAATAAAGTTTCAGTTTACAAAATCAACATGCAAAAATAAGTTGTGTTTTTATACACTAACAGCATGCTGTTCAAAGAAGAAATTAAGAAAACAGCCTCATTTACAACAGCATTAAAAAATACTTAAGTAATAAATTTACCCAAGGAGGTGAAAGATCTGTACACTGACAACTATGAAACACTGGTAAAAGGAGTTGAAAAAGACACAAATAAATGGAAAGATAATTCTGTTTGTGGATTAGCATATTGTTAAAATGTCCATACTACCAAGGTGATCTAAAAATTCAATGTAGTCCCTATTAAAATTTCTGGAAAAAGATGATCAAGTTATGATGAGGTCATTAGAGTGGGCCCTAACCCAATATGACTGATATCCTTATTAAAAGGGGAAATTTAGACACAAATGGACACATACAGAAGGAAGACCCCTGCAGCTACCAGAAGCTAGGAGAGAAGCATGGTAGAGATTCTGCCTCACAGCCCTCAAGAGGA